CGCCTCCTCCGGATGAGGCTGTCCTGTTTGCCAGCTGTAGCTGTCTGAGAGGAGACTATTGCTCAGAGTGGCTGCACACACCTGAGGGGAAGCTCTGGGGAGGTTAAGGTTAAGCCTGGGCTGCACCATTTTTTGCCTCAACAACAAAAAAGGATAGTTGTTGTGTGTGTTTGAGATTTTAATTTAATTACAATGTTTCTCCCCTTTCCTCCTTCTAACATTTCCCATATACCCCTCTCCGTTCTCCTTTACACTATCTTTTTTTAAAAAAAATTATGATTTATATATTCTCTTTGTACATGGTGCTGGGGATTGAACCTAAAGCTAAAACTCTGTGGTTGGGATATATTATATTCTTATCCTGAAAGGAGACATTCTTTAAACCTAGTGTGTCATACCTTCAGATTAGAGGCAACCAAAGTTTTTTCAAGAACATAAGTGGCATAGAAATAGAAAAAAAATAATCAAATATTGCTGCAGGAAATGCAATAGCCCATTAAGTAACCTAACCTGTGCACCCAGGGATATAATACTCTCCTTCAGACTATAGGCATACTATTTACCTCAAGTGTGTGTGTGTGTGTGTGTGTGTGTGTGTGTGTAAGAGAGAGAGAGAGACTTCCATATTTTGTCAGAAGTAGAAAAGCCTAATGCATAGATCAAGTGCGTATTAACTGTCTACTGTCCTTCAGCTAGACCGAGAGGCCTCATCAAGATTGAGCCTTGCTATTTCTATAGTCCCTGGCATCCAGCAGTTGCTCCATAACTGCTTGTTAACCTCATGAAGTATTAGCAATAAACACTATAATTGATGATTGCTTAAGCATTAAGCAATCCCTTCTAGAATAGAGTTGATCAAATGAAAAAAATGATTTGCAAACTTATTTCTTCCTCCCAATATGGACCTGCTGGGTTAGCTCCCTTTGTTTCTACTAGTCTTTCTAGGGAGTTGTATTGAACATGGAGATACAATATCTGGGGTTTTTCTCAGTTATACATTTCTCAGAACAGGCTTAAAATACACACTTGGGTTACCAAAAGGTCCAATTCTTCACCTCAGTCACACCCTACTTAATGAAAACAAGGGTGCTTTAAAGTACAGTTGAAGAGCAGACATCACACGTCTCAACAGACATTTGGTCTTACTGGTTTCTTCCCTTCCTGTACTGCTATTCAACTTCTTTGCTTCTTTCAACATGGGAAAAAAGTGCACAAGACTAAAAGGAAATCCTGATCATTAATAAAGTTCCACTGTACAATAAAAGTTCCTTAAGATACAAAACATGAACTGTACAAAAAAGAAAAAAAATGTACTATATTTGATCTTGTTATGAATTGAAAGTTTTGGACACTTCAGAAAAAAGGCAGCAAATAATGGACTTTATCCACATGAAAGTGATTGCAACCAGAGAAGATCTGAAGTGTCAGAGGATGATATGCTTTCTTTGTCCCTTTTATTTTTATTCATAAAGAGACTGAAGACCTATGGTAAAGTGCAACATTAATTTCTTATAATTTTATAATATGAAGGCAACCAGTTAAAATAGTACTGCTACAACTTTAAATTACTGAACTCACTGGGTATTTAATGAGAGATTTAGCACAGCAGGGTTTCTGCTAAATTAAGTCTTGCCTTCACATCACAGTTTGAAAACAGGTGTATATTGGTTTAGAATTATGGAAATGTTGACTAATTCTAAGGCTTGTAATCAAACAGCAAGGTACCCTGTAATATTTTTTCTTCAAGAATATGCATTAATCTTTGATGTCTGGTCCCATTTCTTACTGTCTACGAAAGGCTCACAATTGAAAGGCGACTAAGTACTTTCATGTTTTCCCTGCATCTGTTAAGGGTGATGTTTGTAAGACAAAGCTACAAAAAAAAAAAAAAAAAAAAAAGGAAGATGTGAGATTCTATCTCCATTGAACATTGTGAAAAGGCAAATGTAGCAAGTGTGTGTACTGTGAAAAGCTTTTAATCTTACTAATCATATCTGTCTTCTCAAATTTTTATTTAATCTGCTTCAAGTAACTGAGCCTATGAAACTGAGATGGAGAAAGCATTCCACCCATTGTATGTTCCAATTCCCAGTATATTTATTTTAAAATTATAGAAACTACTCTTTGTTTTATGTGTACGGGTGTTTTCCCTGCATGTTTGTGTACCACGCGCCTCTTGCCCAAGAAAGAGGCCAGAAAACTGTATCCGATGCCCTGGGAAGCCACCACGCAGGTGCGCTCAGAATTTCTAGCACCTGTGTCCTTTGGAAAAGCGGCCAATGTTCTTAACTGATGGGCCTTTTCTCTAGTACTTTCTCCAACTCCTAAATTAATTATAGGTTTCCAAAATCTTCACTCTTGAATTTTAGAAGAAAAGACCATGCAATATTTGAGAAATGTACAGAAGCACTATTTTTGTTTGTTAAGAATCAAATACAGTTGTCAGCACTTCTGTGCATTTCAATATATCTCATTCATATTCACCCCAGGTTTCTAGTAAATTGTACTAATCATTAAATATTACTGGCATGTAAATCGAAAAATACCATTAGCTTTATATTTTCTGTTCTGTGTCAATACAAGGCCATAAAACGGGCAATAAAATATTGACTGATGGTCAGCTGGCGTTATCACCAAACTGGTTTTCTGGAAAACACCTTTTCACAGGAAGGCAGCATAGTGAAATTTAGCTTTCTAATCAAGGGATGTAATCAAATGAACCAAATTATGTGGTACCTAACTACAGTATACTTTATACAGTAAAGAGCAGTTCGTGACTAAAAATAAAATTTAATGTACCAGGACGGTTTTTTGTGTGCTAATTATTGCAAAGCATTCATTTTTGTGAGCAGGAACACAAAGTAGTCTGAATTAGAGTCTGGACATGAAAAAGTTAATTTTCTTCTATTTATGTCCAAGGCAGTAAATATTTGCCTATAATTTTCTAGAATTATATTGGAAAATTTTCACTTACATTAAGAATAAAGCTTGTATACTATTACTTTAAAATTTTTTAAGTTAATGATGAAAGATTTAATAAAAGTCAACTTACTAAAAATCACTTTGGAAGTTTTAGGAAGTAGTTTCACAGAAGGATCATTCATCATTCTGTCACTAAACACTTGCTTTTCTATCCTTTGATTTGCTTAAATGAAGAAGAGAAGAATCCAAAGTGGTATGGCTGAATACCTGTGTTCATTAATTTATTTCCCTTGGTAATTAAGAAGTTAATAGTCTGGCTAAGCGTGATGATACTTGTGCCTGTAGTCCCAGTACTCACCCCCAAGTTAGAGGTCAGCAAGGGCAGCAAGACCCTGTCTCAAAAATCCACCTCAAAAGAAACTTAGATTTTGAAAATCTTTTGCTACACATCTTTCTTTTTATTTTTAAAACTAATTAATTTTTTTATTATTTACAATTTATTCATTTTGTTTCCGAGCTGTAGTTCTCTCCCTTGTCTTCTCCCAATCCAATTCTCCCTCCCTCTTCTCCTCCCATGACCCTCCCTCAGTCCACTGATAGGAAAGGTCCTCCTCCCCTTACATCTGACTCTACCCTGTCAGGTCTCATCATGGCTGGCTACACCGTCTTTCTCTGTGGCCTGGTAAGGCTGCTCCCTTAATCACTTTACAGCATAATTGCAGCACCCTTCCTTCTCTCCTCCCAATCCTACCATTATACTTCCCTTCCCCCATTTCCCACTCTGTTTCTCCTCAGAGAAAGGGAGGGTCCCCCATGGTACCAACCCACCCTGGCACATCAAGTTGCAGTAGAACTAAGCACATCCTCTCCCACTGAGGCCAGACAAGTCAGTCCAGCTAGGGGAAAGGGATCCAAAGGCAGGCAACAGAGTCAGAGACAGTCCCTACTCTAACTGTTAGGAACCCATATGTTGACCAAGCTGCACATCTGCTACATATGTGTAGGAAGCCTAGGTCTAGCTGCAGCCAAGCATCTTTCTACTACAGATGTTGTAAGTTTGTCAGTGGGCCTAAGCTGGAGTTACAAAAATTCTATCTTTTGGGGAAGCGGGAGGCTAAAATACTTAAGTGTGCCCATATCAGTGTTCACATACTATACATGGTTTGTATACTTGTACAGGTATAGACAACAACCAAACCTGGAAACTAGAGCCTGAAACATCAGGAACATTTTATGCTTTTTTCTTCTTCTTACCAAAACAGACTTTAAAACATCATGGCACTTGGAGTATTTACCACAAGCCCTTTATGATAACTAACACATATCATGATGTTAGTAAATTAACTTACCACTGACATTTAGGTAAATGAAGAAAATATACCAAATCAACAGGAAAGGACAATTTCTACTGCCATGCAATACATAAAAGTCTCACAAAAATCTGATAAAACCTGATGAAACTGTCATATGCAACCTCAGTTCATTTCTAATGAATTAGACCAATCATCAGCTATGATGAGGAAGGGTGTGAAAACAAACACCACAGGCTTTCTAGGTTGTGTTCTGCACCAGCACGAAGGTGCAAGTTTGGCATTAGAACACTGACTTTGTTAACCACCACTGACTGTTTAGAAGTCATTAGGAGCTTTAATATTATGTCTACACAGAGCACATTTTGTCCTTTCAAATGAAAATCTAAAGACTAAAATTGAAATGGGGATCCTGGAGAGTAAAAGCTTTTCCTTTTCCATTTGCTTCACGTGGGCGTGTGGGTTCCCCCTGCCTTCAAAATCTTAACCCACCCAATACTCTTTGGCAGCTGCTGTACCAGCAGGGTCACTCTGATTGTCTAGCCAGGGTATATGCTATTTGAGAGTTCTTCCCATTAGTGTTAATGCCAGCCTTTCTTTGTGGGCTGGCCAGCTAGTCTGGCTACTGCAGGGAACAGAGGGGTCAGCATGTACTCCTCAAAAGACCAAAGCCATTTTTGGCACTAAGAACTCATAACTAGAACCTTTAGTTGAAAGGACCATTTTCAAGCAATAAAGTGATTTTGGTACAAAAGTAAACCGACTCACCCCAGGTAAAGTTTTAATATTGTGCAGTGCATTCTGGGCCTCAAGTGCAGCTTTTCTTGTATAAAATGTTACGAAACAACAACCTACAGAGAGAAATGAAAAGGTTTTAGAAATTTCTTTGAAGGCTTTGCTTAGATATAATGGAGACTGTAGTGAACAAATAATCTACTTAAAAGGATGCACAATTTAAAAATAATAAAGCACATGAGAGCAGTAATAACAACATCTCAAGCACTTACACGGCGCCTTTCATCCTAAATCACATTTATTAGCTTTTCTTGCACTGGAGATCAATTCATAACTCCCCGTGCTAACTACCTGGGATACAACTGTTTAGAAATGAAGGTAGGAGGTAGAAGAGGGAGGGCAGTGTTAATGGGACTTGGACCATAGCAACTACAGTAAAGAGAAGTACTTAAGCACAGTAACATTAGCATAAACTTATATATAATTTTCTTAGAGTATCTCTAGAATGTCACATTTCTAAAATACTTTGTAAGCTTAAAGGGTTAGAAAGTAGACAGATAAGAAGATAGGAAGGTTCTTAAAAGCTGTGATAGTGCCTTATTCTTTTATCTCTACCGTAGAGTGCATAAAGTCAAGATCTGTGCATAGGACCACTCAGTCCTTGCTTGTTAAAAATGATTAGCTAATTAATTTAAACCATTTTAAAATTAACTTGACCGGGCCATGCTAGTGCACACCTTTAATCCCAGTACTCAGGAGGCAGAGGCAGACGATCTCTGAGTTTGAGGACAGACTGGTCTATAAAATAGTACCAGGAAGGGAGATATTTGAAAACAAACAAACAAAAACAAGACCACCACCACTAACAACAAAAACCCTTGCAATATGAATGGGTATGTGCCCAAACAGCTGTAAGCCAACTCTAGCCCATGGAATAAATAATGGCTGTGGCACAATCTGGGTTTCTCATTTCTAAGGGCTGATAGAAACTCAGAACAAAAATACCCCCAATGCAGGCCAGCAGATACCTCTTTTAAACCAATATTCTCTACCATTCTCTGATCTGAAATAAACTAAAGGTTTGCCTGTCACTTTCATCAATTTATAAAGATACTAGTTAACATCAATATACAATTTCTCAGCATATTCAGCTTGGGAAGAAGTAATATAAAAAATTATAAATTGCCAGCTAAGGTGAGACCCTGTCTCACAACAAACAAAACCCCAAATAAACAAACAAAACGCTCCCCCAAAACCCCTTTACAAAATTATTTAATTAATTAGTTAATTATATGTTCAGGCCACAGCCATGAGGGACAACTTGCAGGAATTAATTCTCTTTTTACCACATGGATCCCAGAGAAAAAATAAACTCAGGTGGTCAGGTTTAGTGTTTGTACCTTACCATCTTGTTTCCCCCACTTTACATATTTAAAGAAAAAAAAACCTATTTTTGATCTGGGTTGTCTAGTAAGTTTAAGACCGTTACAACCCAGAAATGAACTTTTAGCTTTGATTTCATAGCCATGTCTCCCTGCAGCTTTCTCTGGAAGAGAAAATTAAGAAGTTGTCGATGCTGGGGTGTAATGGCATTCTCTCACTTCGTAATTTTGGCCCCAACTGGTAGCTGGTCCCTCCATGGTCCATTCCATATTTGCTATGCTGAACTGAATTATGGGAAGTGAAACTTCCTACCACTCCTAAAAGGTTATAAAGGTCAGGCTTTTCCTTTGTTCTGGGGATTGGTCTGAAACTTCTCAAGGCCTCCGATCTGGAATTTAGAGCTGATCTCTGAAGGGGCCTCTGGCCTCTCCCCACCACTCCTCTTGTGGTCTTTCTCTCCCTATCTCATTTACACTCTCAATGAAGTTCCTCTGCAGACTCTAGTGGAAAGATTCACCTCTCTTCCCTTTCCCTCTAAATTCCCATCACATTTAGGTATATCCATATATTGCATTGTTACCCTACTACCTCCAGGCCTAATGATGGCCTTGGGGGCCTTACATTATAGTAACCCACACTGAAGGTCTTTGTGGGCTAATTGCAAGGTTCCAGGCCAGCCAGCCAGCCAGCCAACCTACCAACCCCAAACAAACAAACAAACAAACACCCTTTCCTCCCCCACAAAAAACATCCCCAAACAAAGTTCAGGGTTAAAAATAAAAATTTAGGTCAAGAATATGCATATTAGTCTAGAGAATGGAGAAATGAGGGGATTAGAAAGGGCATTAAAAATAAAGAACTAAGCCAAAACAGCATTAAAGACAAAATATAAAATAGAGGCCACTTGAAGAGTCCTGATACAGTGCAGTTATCTCAAGATTAAAGAAGCTCTATCACTTTGGACATCCAAACACAATTCTTGCCACTCCCTACTCCCTGGGAGGCATTGAGGTTCATGAATCCCATTTGCCAGTCTTGAGGAAGGAGGTATTATATAAGTGTCCTGCTATTTTCAGTGTGATTTTGGCTGATGCCTCCATCTTGAAAATATTTCTTTTGGTGAATAGAAGGTAGGTGGGTTGTGTTTTCCTTTTTAAACTGTTTTTCAGAAAGTTTGAAGTTGGCATTCGAGCAGTTGTGGGAAAGTAGGTGAAGAGAATAAAGGAATGAATGAAGGTGAGTGATGTACAGAAGAGAAAAAGGCAAGCCATCTCAAATCTCCCAATCTTTCTAAGATTACGTAGGGTCCACCTACTCTACTTGAGCAATCACTATGGTGAAATCAGGGCCAGAGTACTACACATCCTTTCAAATATATACAGTTTATTAACTCTTTTACTGTATACTCATTTAAACAGAGATTCTTTAGGATTATATCAAGATGGGCTCTGGTTTTACTCTAACACCAGAAAAGGTCCTGAAGACTCAAGTAGCATACTTCTTTTTCTACTTTATCATTTGCTGAACCCAGCAGCTCAGCTCCAGCAATGCTATCTTAGCAAACAAATTTGGAGCTTTTTATGTAAATTCAAAAAGTCATTCTACCTCCCAGTGGATAGAGGTTCATTAACGGTCCTGACTATACCTCTGCCCTTAATCATAGCCTCAGCTGAGCAGACTATCATGATTAAATCTTAGCAATGTGGGAGAGCTGCAGGACAGACAATAAAACTAGGAATATTATCCCATATTTTCTTTTGGTTTCTTGGATTAGATCTCTATATCATAGTTCTTTTTTCATTAACTTTAAATTGGTGAAGAAAAACTTGTCAAACAAATTTTTGAAAATTAAAAACTTTTGCCATTTAGTGTGTTAAAAGTTATTTCACATATGAAAATGATTGTCTTACAATCTGAAGAGCAAATACAGACATTCACATGTGAGGAGTCGCCACAGATGCAGCAGTTAGTGGGGTGGAGCATTGGTCCTTCCCAATGGAACTTTGGTTTGCACACTTTCAGAATTAGGATCTATTTAAAGATTGTGTTTTGAGTACTCTTATAGTTTACTACAGATATTTAACCTCCTTATGATTATTTACTTAAAATCTCAGATTAATTTATCAATTGAGAATATCTCTAAAAAGGAAAACATTTTCTCTTGATTTTTAAAAAATAATTATGGCAAAAGGCAAGGAAAAAGTATAGATTTCAGATAACCCTTGAAGGCTTAAACAAGCATAAAATTGTCTTTCTTGCTGTCCCTAACTATAAGTACAGCTGTTAATGGAACCAACCACCGGCTCTTAGATTTTCCCACAACAGCTGTAACTCAGGTCTGAGATATGCTGAATTCATTTCGAGGTCAGATGTAACACCATATGGCCCAGCCACCAGATTCAGGGGACAAGCCTCCCTCCTTCTGTTTCAATACCAGTTTTTCAAGGTAGGTGGTTAAACACTTAAAATACCCAGATGATTTTACATGGTCAGTGGCTGCAACACACATAAGAGGGGTTAGCTCTCTTGTGGCATGTTCATTCCTGGGACTACTCTTTCATGGGGTTTCAAGAAAAGCCTTCTATTCCTCCACTCTTTCCTATGATTCCCCGCTCTCTGTCCAAAGTTTGGCTGTGAGTCTTAGCATCTGCTGTAAGTCTTTCAGGACAGTTATGGTAGGCTCCCATCCTGTTCTCTTTCTTCAACTGCTTCTGGTGTCTATTCTATTTGCCCTTGTGAATGAGAATTAAGCATCCGACCTAGGGTCCTCCTTGTTATTTCGCTTCTTTAGGTCTGTGGATTGTAATATGGTTATCCTGTACTATATGGCTAAGATCCACTTATAAGTAAGTATATACCATGTGTGTCTTTCTGTTTGTGGGTTACCTCACTCGGGATGATCTTTTCTAGTTCCATCCATTTGCCTGTAGATTTGATGATTTCCTCGTTTTTAATAGCTGAGTAGTATTCCATTGTGTAAATGTACCACTATTTCTGTATCCATTCTTTGGTTGAAGACATGTAGGTTATTTCCAGATTCTGGCTATCATGAATAAAGCTGCTATGAACATGGCGGAGCCAATGTCCTTGATGTTTGGTGGAGCACCTTTTGGGTATATGCCCTGGCCAGACCAGATAGGAGCCCCATAAGACCAACAGAGTCAACAGTCTGGGCCCATGGGGACCTGAAGAGACTGATGTACTAACCAAGGACATGCAATGAAGATGACCTAGAACCCCTGCTCAGTTGTAGCTGACAGGCAACTCAGTCTCCATGTGGGTCCCCAAGTAAGGGGAGCAGGAGCTGTCTCTGTCATGGACTCTGTTGCCTGCTCTTTAATATCCCCTTCAGGTGTGGTGGTGGTGGTGGGGGCCTTTCCAGGCCACAGAGGATGCAAGCAGTCCTAATGAAACTTGACAGACTGGGGTCAGATGGTAGGAGAAGAGGGCTCCCCGTTGCTGGAAAGTAGGGGAGGGGAATAAGGGGGAAGAGGGAGGGAGAATGGGACTGGGAGGAGACAAGGGAGGGGCTACACTTGGGATGTAAAGTGAATAAATTATAAAAAATAATTTTAAATTAAAGAAAAAAAGAAAAGTTTTGCTCCCCTTTAAAGAAGAGCACTGAGTATCCTCGGACTTACCAGGATCACCAGCAGTGGATACAGTTTGAGTCATGTGCTTCAACAAGTCCCCACCCTTCTATTTCTGCTTTATGTTGTTGTTTTCTTTTCTT